GATTATCCCGTAAAATGAACTCTCAATAAAGTACAGTACATGCAACAAATAAATTAATTAATAATTTATTTTTAACTGTTAAACCGAATTACCCGAAACATCAACGAGCTAGGTGTATATTTTCGTTGAAACGTTTTAATCAATGATCTTAATTGGGTGAAACATTTAGAATTTCGAATCTCACTCTACATCACACCTGATTATTTTTGGTCGTACATAAAAAACCAATTGAATTTTGTTAACCCTATTTCGAATTCAATTTTAAAACTGATTTTCATTTTAATTTATTGATCAAATGGGTTTCGATTTGTATTTGTATTCCTGATTGATATCAGTGGATTATTAATTAATGTGATTTCATTATTGGATCTAATACAGCATTTCCTTGAGAAAAGAGTGGAGCCGAAAAAAACTTCTAATCTTGAGAGTTTAGGAGTTTCAGTTTTCGTGCTTTGTTCTTTGACGAATCATTCACCAGTTTCTTTGTTCCTGTCAAATATATAAAAAAAGAAAGTCATGCAATTAATAAGCCATTTTTTTTTTGACAGCTTATATAAGATATTGTCGATTTCCCCAATGAGTAATGATTTAAAACTTCCCTTTGTGTCGCTAGATCACCTCGTGAGACGGAGCGTGTTTTATTAGGTCAGAAAACTTTCAAAGTGATATTTATATTATTCATTCATTTACATTTTACACTGTAAGAATCACGAGATAAAGAAAGAAGGGAAAAGGAACGAGGGTTTAATTTTTCCGATTGTACATCTGGCAAATTTTGCAGGAGTCCGCAACCAATCCTTGGATTTCACACCAAACTTACCATCATTGACAAGAGCGCACGATATTGGTAATAAACGTACCAAACATATTATTCCTTGAGGTTGATTATCGGACTCCAGCAAACAAATGTTTAGAAAGGATGGCAAAATAAAGCCCGCATTCCAGCAAGATTGAAAAGGTTATTCATTCTTGAACCTTACATCTTTCACCGAGAAAGAAATTCCTATTTTGGATAGCATTAAAGGATGGCGTTAAGGGCGAGCCGAAAAAGATTATGCCAAAATTTTTTCCATTCAAATGACATAAGCGTATGTAGAAAAATGCCTTGCTTTCGACAAATCCACGATACTCATGGTGATGTATAGGCACACTAACTTGCCGACAATAGCATTCGCATGACCCCAGGCTTAAAGCCTACATTTTTGTCCATTAGTATTCGGACTCGGAAGCTGCGCGAATGTGGGTACGTAAGTACATACATGTTCACATGAGACAAAAAAAAAAAAAAAAAAAAAAAAAAAAATACAACGCATATATTCATTTACATCATACTTTAATGGACCAAAAAAAAATCCACCAAACATTGTTGGGAATGATTTTAATGTACGCATTGTATATTCAAGCATTTAACGTTTAGGACGCACAATCGGATTCGTAAATCATTCTATAATTTGATGTACCCGATAATAGCCCAACAACATTTGCAGGCGATGGATTCTCGCGGTAACTTTCAAAGAGAAAGAAGGAAAAAAAAAAAAAGCCTAGCGAATTCATCCTGATAATGCATTCCGTCAGTTAACCATAGACGATTGCTTTTGAATAAGGGACGATCAAATTTCCCATTGTCCTTTTACTGTATCTCAGGAAGTAAATTATTGTTGAGACAATGACTAACTGGAACTATAGAGAATACGATGTCGGTTGCAACCTCGAAAACCCTCAAATCCAATTTGATTTTTATTCTTTTTTAGCAATCGATTCACGATTGTG